ACCCCCTCTGTCAGCATCAGCAGGCTGAACTGATTTTCCCTCACTTGTTTCAATGTTGTATTTAGGTAATTCATTAAATGTAGCACATACTTTGTACTCATGCGTTTCGTTATAAATGGGAGCAGCTTTTGTCAGCTGATTGAATGTTGCAGTGCCTATGTATAGGACAAATGGTAATCTTCAGCTGATTCTTTGAATGCCTGCCTTCTGGTTTGAAAAGGAATTGGCCCATCCTCACTGAAAGCAGGACTGGGTAGGAGTTCGATTCAAAATCTGTGGATTTTGTTTAAATGCTGGTAATAATTTTACATCAGGTGGTACTACTGGTACTACTAATTCAAGAAAATATTTGACAAATACCTATACACCCCTAACAAAATTCTTTGAAAGCTGTAAAGTAACAGCTGGCAATCATGAAGTGTTTTTCAAACTCTAGCATTGACAGATACCTTGTGAGCAAGGTACACAATTGTAACAAAATACAAGTAACCAAAAGCAGCTATTTGTCAATTATGCTAGCATTGACAGATACCTTGTGAGCAAGGTACACAATTGTAACAAAACACAAGTAACCAAAATCAGCTATTTGTCAATTATGCTAGCAAACATGCTGGCCTTATCAGTTTGTTTTCATAACCTATCAAAGTTGCAAATTGGATTGACTCCCCTCAATGCCCTTGTTTGTCTAATATTATTGCTTAATGGCTTGATCGGTCTCTACAGTGATAAAAAGCTGACTGTGTGCTGAGTGATCCCTGCATTATACATCAGTTGTTGAGCCAAACTAGGTCTTAAACATTGTGTGTGGTTTACAGCCTTGATAACTTTTTCATATAGCACTGATGGTCTGGCTCTGATCTGTGCCCCTGATAGTCTAATGCAGTACTCCTGCCATCTGGCACCCTGGCTCCTGGTGTTCTAGATCAGAAGGCCCAATGTTGTGTTATGGTGAGCCCTTTGCTGGGTTGGGAGGCTGTCTTACAAGCTAGTAATCCCTGCACTGGGTTAGGAGGCACTCTATTCAAGAGGCACTCTAGTTTGATGCATCAGATGGCAGCAGTTCCAGGTCAGGGGTTCCTGACCTGATATTACTGCCCTTGAGAGTCTGGCGAGGTACTCATACCTCCTGGTACTCTGACCCCTGGTGGCCAGACCTGGCACTCCTGCCCCTAATGGTCTGACCTGGCACCACTTCCTCCTGGCGGCCTTACCTGGTACCACCACTTTATAGTGTGAATTAGTACCAGTGCTCCTGGTAGCATAGTACTGCGGTCTCATGGTGATCTCACCTGGCACTTGTGCCACATGGCAGAAGGACTTGATACCTCTGCCCTTGATGGCCTCACCTGGTATCCGTGTGCATGGTGGTCTGGTCTGGTATTCCTGCCACCTGATAGGGTACCCCCATCACTAATGGTCTGACCTGGCACTCCTGCTGCCAGCTGGTCTGACCTGATACCCATGCCCCCTGCTTGTTTAGCATGGTGCCTTGTGCCTGGTGGTCTGACCTGGTGCTCCTGATGATCAGACCATCAGTGTGTGGGGTCACCAGATCAGACTACTGGGGTCAGAATTACCAGGTCAGGCCACCAGGAGGTGGGTACCAGATCTGATGTCAAACTCCTGATAGTTGACCTGGTACTCCTGATGATCTGACCTGGCACCCCTGATGATCTGACCTGGTACCCTGATGATCTGACCGTCGGGCGTGCTCCTTTTGCAGGTCCATCTACCAGTGGTGCTCTTCAGTTAACCCGGCGAGATTTAGGCGCTCCTCTGCACCATCTTATGCCTCCGCGAGTAACGAAAAACCGCGGTCGTGCTGAAGGCAGCGTCACCACAGTCGTGGGATCAGCAAAGGAATAAGGTAAGTTTGCTTATTGTGAATTGATGCGACCTTCCATTGACAATTGCTAATAAAACCACATCTCGAACAGTCGTGAGTCGGCAAATATGACAGGCTCATATGCGGTGTGACTAACGTGTGTCGATCGGTGTGTCGATAACGGTGGTTTCCGGTCATGACTAACGTGTATCGATCAATAACACATGGGACGACGTAAAACTAGTTCATGATGTTTCTCCTCAGTTCATATAATGACTCGATGTATGTTTTTATTAACTTGTCCCTTTTTTTCTTCAGAATGCTGAACAGCAGTGATGGATGGTGGAAGCGCTGGATTACGCCATCCACGTACTCGGCTTTAAACTCGTCATCATCATGCACCGCTTGATCACGGCGTTCCATGAATTGGACATAACTGCGCTCATCGGAAGTGCCTTGACTTTCCCCGGAGACCTGTAGAGCTCTTAGGCTTGTGCTTTTGTAGAGGACATGTTTGATATCTATATTCGTTTGCATGTCATGATGTGAATAGCTAGTTTGCCAAGACACACCTTCATGTACATATATAAGTACTGCAAGCCCATTCAAACTCTGAAGGACTGAAAGCGTTTCCGGCTAACGTTGTTGATTGGTTCCAAACTGGATAAGCGTTGTAAAATAGCACCGCTCACCAAGCAATGGTTGCTTACGTCCAATCTGTTGCGTCCCTGGATGTGCTTGCATTATCTCCTTACTAGTTGAGAAAAACGTTGAGCGAGCTTAGATCTGTCGTGTACCTGAACTAAGTAGCTGAAGTGAACTAAGTAGCCCCGTCAAATGTTTGATGCATTCATAGTCGACAGTTCTATACATGCGAGAACTGACTGGGTAATTATATCTGCCCCATGCGAAGAAGACGCATACAAATGTATGTACAATTTTGTTTTGTGCTAGGTTAACCAGTGACCCGTAAGTCGAATGTGCTCTTAAAAATACCAACTTGAGAGCATTGCGTTGGCTACTTATTCAATATGTCGTGTCACTGTTATATCATTGCTTAGTGCGTTCAACACTTTTCAGCCATGGTCGTTATTGATGATATTTTTTGACACTGGTTGTGCTCGCACGCTTTGAATCTAGTCAAGAAGGATGCTGATGATTGTGCCTAGTGGTAGATTTCCATGCATCTCAGCACTCAGGGTGCCTTTGTTAGTGCACGGGATTTATTGACATGTGAGAGTCTTCCTGACATAGCGAGGCATGTCCGGCCGCTCCAATGCGGTAAAAGACCTGCGCTATTGTGACATGGTTGCTACTTCTCATGGCATGCATCTGTGGTAAGCTCGCACGGCTGCCTGCCCGGAACTGTATACCGTGTGCCTTCCAAGGCTATGGTTATCCCGGAGAGATCGTTAACCTCAATACTTTAATACATTTAAAGCTGACCAACTCTGCTGAAGTGGCTATTGCGCGCTGTGAAAATCCCACGTATCCACAAATACGTCTGATGAGGCGCACCAAAGGTCTTATGAGTTTCACCGGTATGCGTAAGACCACTGGCAGCTCCAGTAACGCCTCTCATTGCGAATGCGTGGCTGGGTCATGTTCACGCTCATTTTAATCACAAATTATTCCGACAGCTGGGTTGTTTGACTCGGTACAATCACAACAGTAGTATGGGTGCAATATTAAAACGACGACGCGACTAGATTCGCACGTTATGAATCGTCCCTTCGTTCTCGCAGCTTGGCAAACAATAAATTATGTATCAAAATTTAAGCCGGCAGAATACGTTACGAAGCGGCAAACAAGCAATGATTACACAACAGGGCGGCCTACATCGCCCAGACTGGCGCAAAGCACATTGCAGGCGTAAGAGGTTGTGGTGTTCGGCGGCAGCGGTATGAGGCCGCGTAGATACGAAAAGACCTGCATGCTGTCGATAGGTGAGGGCTGGCAGACCCAGGGCGCCTATCGCTGCCGCGAGGGTGACACTCTGGCGTAAAGCTGTACGTGTGGTGAACAAGGACTGAATCTCCAAAGGGACCCACGAGTCATTAAGGGCACTGGACACAGCGAGACTGTCACGGGGGATGACTTGGTCACCGAGCCAGCCCAGCGCTTGAACAGTCGCCGCCATTGGATCTTGCTGATGGGTATGGGTGACGATCTTGGCCCCACGATTAACCACCCCTTGCACTCTATTTAGGTGACGCGCTACAGCCACACCCCAGACCGAGAGGCCGTACAGAAAATGAGAGCATGTGACTGGATGATAGATTTACGAACCTCGGGCGACGAATTTGTTGATTGTGGTTTGATTGTGGCGGAATTTGTTCATTGTGATTCGTCACAAACAGCCAATATTGTCGGTTGTGGCGGATTTTATGCAAGCGGAAAAGGATGGGGCTGGACATTTTAATACAGAATATAAGCATCTCCCAAGAAAAGTGTAGGAAGCAGCTAGCGGATCTAAAAAGTGCTAGGTATTTGAGCCACGCAGCACGTCACTCCTGCTGGCCTCCAACAGCGTACACAGCTCGGTACCCTGCCCTCCAAGCTACGCGCCCCCTCGGCGTTTCTCCCTCCTCGACACTGCTCTCGCCAAAAACGTATCTGCTTCCGCTGTTCCTCGCCCCTCGCGCCCACTTCACTGCTTCCGCCGCGCACCAGATGAAGGTTTTCCTTCACACTCCCCCCTGATCCCCGATCACAAACTCAACCAGCAGCTCACACTCCCCCCAGGTCCTGCGCGAACGCCGCAGAGTGGATCAACGCTCGTCGCACAAGTCACAGACGCGTGGTCTGACCAGCCGGCGACTCCTCCTGGGCTCTCCGGCGGGAGTGCCCTCTCTTTACTCTCCCCTATAGATCCCCTCTTCTTCTTCGGGGGGGGGGGGGGGGGTCGCCCGCTGCCTCCTCCTGCGTCTCGTCGCGGACTGCTCTGTCCGCCGCAGCCGGCGGCGCTTCGACTCGGTCGTCACCTCCCCACCGTACCAGCCAGCAGCCGCAGTCGTCGGCGTCTTCATCGCCTACCTGAGTACTCGGTCCGGTCTCCTCAGCTGGCGTTACACGCGTCGGGGCGCCGCCTATTCGCAAGTCACGCACGTGACGTGGCACCCCGTCTACTTCAACAGCTTAAGGCGATACCACGCGGGTCATGGTTCCATTCGCGCTAGGGGCGTCGCATCCGCGACTTGGGTCGCGAGTCCACACCTCATCGCCGGCACAGAATCGACATGTCACAGGCCCGGGATCGTGCTCGTTCTTGTCAATGCCGCGGACTCTCACCTCATGCGCGTAGAGAACGTTCGCCGGCGCAGTACCGGCGCTCACGCCGTCCTTAGGCGTGACGTTATACCAGTACACGACGTCCAGCAGGGGGCAGCTGGTGCGGGCCACCATCCGCTTCATCGTACAGTGACAGCGCTCCACTAGGCCGTTCCCGGATGGCTGATGCGCACTTCGAAACCGCATCACGACGCCCCACCGCTCCACAAAGTTTCCAAAAGCGTGGCTGCTGAAAACTGTCGCGTTATCGGTCAACATTTCCGTCGGTGCTTCTCTCTCACGGAACGCCTGCTCCAGCTGTTCGATGACGCTGGCGCTGTCCTGCCTCCTCAGACGTCGCCACACAGCGAACCTTGACGGTCCGCAATCGACGGTCGTAAGATAGTGCGCGGCGCTGACGTGACTTATATCCATACTTAGTCGCCGCCTGTTGTCACTCACTGCCAGCTCGCCCGTTCCCTCCGTACGGGGGCGAGGTCGACGGATCGACACTGCTGACAGACCCGCGCATGCCTGAGCTCCTACGCATCCACGCCCGATCTCCAGTCTCTCTCCCCCTCCGCGCGCCCGCCGCTGTACACCGCCGGCCTCTCCACTCCAGCCGGTCACTCTCCCTATCGGCAGTCGTGGCTGCCGTCGCCTCCCAAAAGACGCGTGGGCGTTTGCTGGGGAACTCCAATTCGTCGTCCATGGGGCGACCGGGGCAGCCAGGGCCGCCGCCGCTGCGCGGAGTGCCGCGGAAGCCGCCGCGGCCGCCGCGGTAGCCAGGTGGCGGCACGCCGCGACCGCGCGGGCTGAACCCGCCCATGTCCATGCCGGCCACCTGTGCCGCGCCGCGTCCACCACGACCCCCGTGACCGCCCATGCCCGGAGGTGGCACGCCGTGCGGGCTGAAGCCGGCGTCTTGACCGCCCCAGACATCACCGTAGCCGGTATCCGGCACGGCCGGCGGCGCCGCGCTGCCGTCATCGCAGATCGCCTGCTCCTGCTGGTCGAGCAGACTGCTCAGCTCGTTGGCCTGCATGAACAGTTGGTTCTCCTTCAGTTGGTTCTGGCGTCGCTTCAAATCCTCCTCCGACTGGCGCATACGCGACTGCATGGTATCCTGGTCGCGCTGCATTTCCTTCCCGAGGCGACGGCGCTCCTCCTCACGTTGCTGCTGACGCGCGTCCCAGTCGCCCTTGGAGCGCTCCTGCTCCATCTCGTGGCGCCGCAGCTGCTCGCGTAGCATCTCCGTCTCGTGCTCGCGGCGCGCGAACTCCATCTGGTCGCGCAGCTTGTCCATCTCCATCTTGATCTCCTGCTCCAATTGCTCGCGGCGCTGCTTCTCCATCTCGTACAGCTGCTTCCAGCGGTTGCCGCACTCCATCTCGAACGAGCCGGGCATGGCCAGCCGGGGGCCGTTCGAACATTCACGCATGTACCCGTGGTGTTTCTTGGGCAGCACATTTCGCACAGTCCTTCCTCAACGTCGACCTCATTCAGAGGCTCCACCTCCAGTGGGCACAGAGACTCGGTCAAGAAAAAGCTATTCTCTGCACACTTCTTCAGACAGTAGAGTGCACATGGCTTCTTGGCAAACTCCACAATACCACTGCCCGTAGATTTCCCGCGCTCGTCCACCACCATTGTCGCTCTCTCCTGATCGCAACGCGCGCGAAAGTCTGCCGCTTCCACTTCCGCCGTGCCGGGTGCCACGGCAGCACAGTCTGACTCGGCGCCGAACTGCAACCCTGCCCAAGAAACAGTGACGCCACCCAACACTTTGATCGCATCTATGCCCAACACCATACTAAATCCCAGAGGCATGGCAGTTGCCACCAAAGCGCTGACGTCAGCGCGCGCGCCACGCTCGAGCTCTACACACGCTGGCCCGCTACCCGCGCATAGAAACCGGTTGCCGTTTACTGTGAGCACGCTAACGCGTTCCCTCCGCCAATCTCGGTACAACGTGGCGTGCGCGAGGCTACGGGAACAACCTGTGTCCACCAGCGCAGTGCAGACGGATCCGTTAACGCGTAGTTGCCTAGTTGGAAGAGCACCAACGCCGACCACGGAGAGAAGACTGGCGCTCACACCTCCCTTGTTTCCCGAGCAGCGGGCCGCTACGTGACCTTCTTGTCTACACCTGAAGCAGACGATGTCGCGCTGGCACCAGCGAGCCAAATGGCCGCGCTCGCCGCAGCGGAAGCAGGAAGCCGGCTACTGGGCGCGGCCGCCGCCGCGCGCTCATTGGCGTGAGAAGCCGACCCCATTGCTCGGTGCAGCTGCTGCGCCCGCCGTAGCCACACCGGCCGCCGCCGCCGCCGCCAACTCCTCCGCGACCAGGGCGGGTGCCCGGCCCAGTACCTCAGTCAGGCCCAGGGCCTCCACGCGCGTGCTGGCCCTCAGCGCGTGCCGCACGGTCTCTGGCAAGCCAGCCACGAAGGCGCAGATCAACCCCGTCTCAGACAAACCGCCAAACAGTTTGGCCAGCCTGCGCAAGCCTGCAAGGAAGACGTCGACGACTTCGCCCTCTCTGAGACGCCTAAAGACGAATTTCTCGTATAAGTCAAATTTGCCGACGGCGAAAGCCGTGATCAGGGCGTCCTTTACCTTGCTCGGCGCCTGCTTATCCTCATCGGAAAGTTGCTGGTGCGCGCTGAGTGCCCCACCAGTGAGCCGGAGGGGAATCACGTTTTGTAAGTCGCTCACTCCTTTCAGCCTGCACACTAGGTCCACTTTATCGAGCCACTCCACAACGGATTTCTGGCCACTGAACTCCGGAATGATTCTCAAGTCCAAATTCCCAGGTTCCGCCATCTTGAGCGCATGTGCCGAAGTAGCTTGTACGAAACAGCTAGCGGATCTAAAAAATGTTATGTATTTGAGCCACACAGCACGTCACTCCTGCTGGCCTCCAACAGCGTACACAGCTCGGTACCCTGCCCTCCAAGCTACGCGCCCCCTCGACGCTTCCCCGTCCCCGACACCGCTATCGCCAAAAAAAAGTTTCTACTTCCGCTGTTCCTCGCCCCTTGCGCCCGCTTCGCCGCTTCCACCGCGCACCAGATGAAGGTTTTCCTTCACACTCCCCCCTGATCCCCGGTCACAAACTCAAGCAGCAGCTCACAAAAAGGTATCTACACCCCCCCCCCCCCTCCCCCCAGCGCCTTCATGGGCGACGAAGGGCCTAACTGGTGTACCGCACGGTCTAGGAGAAAAGATAAGGTTTCATTTCAGGATTGGGGAGTGCCGGGAAGAAGAGCTCTGTTGGTCGTCTTCATTTTAAGGGAGTTAGATGTGAAATAGAAATTGATCACTTGAATGGCTTCCTCCTGTCGTGATTTCAAAATGGATGGTTGGTCTGGATGAGTAGAGTCCAGCAGCTGGGTGTGGTCGGCACAGCATATTAGATATTCGTGAAGGAAAGAAGATAGAGATTCGTTCTTAAAAAAATACTGAGGAGGATAGGATCAACCAAGGATCACTGAGGAACACCGTTAATCGACAGAAGAGAAAGATTCTGCCTCTCACCATCTACCTTCGACCAGCGAGGTAGCTCCCAAACCATTTCGGATCAATACAATATCACTGCAGCTTTGTCGGAACGACGCCATGGTCGATACATTTAAAGGCACGGCTGAAGTTTACAAAAGTGACGGCCACGATGTGCTTAACCCCAATCCGGGTACAGCTCACTCAACGGCATCGTCCAGAGCGTTTTCGGTTGAGCGACAAAATCTGCACGCGTACTGTAATGTAGCTAAAAGATCATGGGTACGGAGGTTGGACGACAGCTGCATGCACACAACTTTTTCGTGTGTTTTGATAAAACAGGCAAAGTTGATGTGCGTACAAAAATGCTAGCGATTTCGCGGAAGACATATTTGTGAAGAGCCGAAGGTAGAAAATAGAGGAGCGAAGAGAATATTTACCGCATTTCATTATTGGAGGTACCCTCATTAGGTCCGCCAATGCTTGTCTTTAGCCGTGAAGTTCTTTCGGCACAGACGTCTGCAAGCGTCCTTAACCTAAAAGGCGTTTCCCACAGCGTCACGCAAAAGTGAAGTTCTTGGTTTTAAGTAAGCCCCAAGTTGAGCGACTTCAAATTTACAGACGAAAGGCTGATCTGGATGTCAAACACACCCATATTGATACCGCGTGTGAATCAGTCGGATAGCTTCAGTTGGGTTACTTCACAGTACTAGGTTCAGTTAAGGTATCCAATTGTATTCAGAATGTATGCATATGCCTATGCAAACGCATAGGCATAAACGTAGGTACAACCCAAGTTTGGGTTTGCCGATTTCGGTTCCATCTTTTTTTAGTGAGGTCTTAACGAAGTCTTCCATGCATTTCTCCATGTTACCTACCACGTTATTCAACGTTCAATCATTGCGATTATCCAGCCCAGGGGAACGCTATTTAAATTAAGTCTGTTCCACAGATGACTTCAAATAGTCTCATTCGAAAATATAAGGGCATTTATTTAGGAATGATATATAAGGTCGGGCATTTCTTACCATTGCGTTTTGAATGTTCGGTACTATTACAGATGCTAATTACAAGACCCTAGGTTCACCGGAAGTGACCTGACTTGACCTCTGAAATCGAGGATGCACTTGCCGCAAAGTGACTCTGGGCGAGGATGTATTACTGCATGAGGATAGGTAATTACAGCATTGGGTTGGGCTTCTAGGACTTGAAGTGCGTATCCTAAACACTGTTACATAAGTTGCATCACTAACAAATTCTGACGGAACGTTTAACATCCCCAGACGAACATGGGTTAGTCAAGGCGAAACAAATTGCTGAACCCATTTCCATCTACACTCAACGGGCACGGGATCATGAATATCTCTGCAAAGCTCAGAACAAAAACTCGACAAAGCTCTGAGGTCTATCCCTTTGGATACAACCAGCTTAGCAATTTAAAGGGAATAAGACCGGTGCGTTTTTTTGTATGTCATCTAGCATCACATCCCTTTTGTTAATTATTGCCTGCAATAAAATACAGACAGCAAATTGCTTTCCAATACCTTTCATGGCTTCTGGCCCCAGTGAAGGAAGTTAGAAATGCACAAAACACGTACATAATCATGCCGGTGGAAATCCATCGGCCAAAGCTGACGAATTTGTGTGTATGAGAGTGGGGGGGGGGGGGGGGCGTTTCACCATCAAGGAGCCCGTTTGGGAGCCCTCCGCACCCCTCACCCGTTACCAAGACTGGATAAAAGCCGCACACCACAAACCACCGTGTGACAAGCATGCGATGCCACGTGGCGTGCCTTGTAAACCATATGACAAGTTCGGCATCTACCTTTCCTGGTACATACACACGTACACGCACAAACGCACGCATACTATATATATATATATATATATATATATATATATATATATTCGTATCTCTGGACAGTATGTTCTTAATAAAGTACGCAGATGTGTAGCTTCACTGAAGCAAAAACGAACTATGCATGGGCAAATGCATATTTCAGCTTTTGTGCGTTTGTTTGATTGCTGAAATCACACCTTTCCTTTATTCAGCAAGGCATAGGTCAGTTCGCCAGCTCGCTGCATTGAATACGCTCTGTCTCCTGTGCAAATCACATCACGATGTAATTTACAGGTGTGTGTATCCATCATGAGTGCATCCACACAGAGCACCTTCTCTGCTCAAATCCACTCGAGAGTGGAATTACATAGAATGGCGCTTCTGTGTATATCCCGTCTTAAGTGCATCTACGCAGAAGACCTTCTCTGCTTAAATCCACTCGCGAGTGGAATTGCGCAGAATGACGCTTCTGTGTATATCACGTCATGAGTGAATCTGCACAGAACACCTCTGCTTAAATCCAATCCGGAGTGTATGTACACGGAATGGCGCCCCTGTGTAAATTCACTCAAATCTGAGTTGATTTACCCCTGAGGCCACACTTGTGCAGATTTACTCACAAGTGGATTTACACAACGGTTTTGTTTGTTTCATATCTATGCGTACTACTAAACACCGCCGATGTTAGTATGCGTCGGTACTAAACGCCGCTTCCTTCTTAACACGAATTCGTACTAAATATTCTCGAGAGTGTGTTGGGTTTTTGTAGATTTTACACAGAAATGCGATACGAAGGAGGGCAATAGCCCCCGGTGTGCGGAGGACGCGACATTTGCTGACGGGGCCGAGGTGAAGTGAGGTGTGTGTGGGGGTGTCATGTTTTTTTTTGCCAGTGACTTCGTTCGAATAAGTAAAGCATGATGTAATAGACCGTCAACAGCCATTCGTTGCGCAGGGCTTAACGTGGAAGCTGTAGGGATGTGGATTCACTTTAAGCAGTTAGCTGTCATTGTTTTAATGGGAGCAGTGTCTTGGGCCGGTCGCACCGGACCTAGCTGTCTCGTAGCACTTAAGGTATTAAATGTAGGTACTGTTATCGTGTACCTGTGTTTGCAGACCAAGCGGTGGGTACGGGGGACAGTACTGGCTATTGCGGGCGTACATGGGCGGATCCTGGGGGGGAGGGGCACAAGCCCATGGCCCCCCAAAGCCTCTGAGAGTATGTTTTGGCCCCCCAAAGCAATCCCAGAACTTCATAAAAGTTTTGTTTCTTTCTGTCTGTTTTAACTTCAACTGTTTGAATTGTTTTGTTTTTACTTCTGTTTAAGATTCAAAGGCATTTTGGTGCTTTTTTTCAGTTTTGAATGGTGTCCCCACTAGGTACTTGCGAGGGGCACCATGCAGTGGACCTCCTATTCCACACCAGCCAGCTGGCGACAAACTGTTGGCCCCCCAAAAACTCCAGGCTAGATCCGCCCCTGTGGGTGCATGCAATATTTGAGCTCAGACCCACTGGCAGTGAAGGGCAGCATGCTGCATTTGTGTGATTGAAATTGTTTGATTTAGAGAGCTGCAAAAAGTTGTAGTACAGATTAGTTGTGTGCTGAACTTGACATCAGTTATCATATACAAATTTGCTGTTAGTCTTTGCTTTACTTCTTTGTGATGCTTCTATTGATGTTGTCTTCTGTTCTGTCAGTGCTCACAGCAAAGGATAAGCTTTTGGTACAATCTTATGTGCTTTAAAATCAGGTAATACACTGACACCAGTGTGATGGTGTACCTAGATTACCTGATATCTGTAGTGAAGGATAACTTCCTCCTCAGCCAGATGCATGCAACCATTGCTCTATTCACTTATAGTCTCTCCCATTTCAGGCCCTGGTCAAGGATCACCAGTTCTCTTCTTGCATTAGTCCATCTTACAAGGTGGGCTTCCATGACAGTTTGGTGGCTGTTTTGGTCAGATAATGTCACAGAAAATCCCATAGGCATATGTGTAATATTATTTTTAAGAGATAAACCTCAGCGTGGTGTTCTGTCCTGTATTCTATCTAAAAATAGGTCTTTTGTCTTCACCCAATAGGTACTGCTATTCACCCTTCAGTAAAATGTGACAGATTCATTCAAAACATCCTTGGGATATGCATTGGAAACCTGATGACATACTATATTAGATAGCAGGGTAGCAGAACAGCTTCAGCAAAGCTGTGGCCTGTCCTGATAGCAGTAACCATCGGTGTAAAGCTCAGTTTCCCAGTGTTTGACACAATGGCAAACACTGAAGGTGTGTCAGGTGATGGTAACACTTCTCCCAAGGAGAATGTACCACAGCTGGGTACCATTTCTGGGAGCTCTCTCAACTTGACCACCACTGACTCAGAGTCGGTGCACTCGGGCATGTTCAACCCTGGTCCGTTCTTTGCCTCCCCTGGGAAATCTCTGCTGGGGGAGTTCCTGTTCCCAATCCAAGGCTACGAGGTGATGGAGGCACGTGCCAAGTTCACAATCTTCAAGATCAAAGTGCATCATGTGGCTTCGGACCAGCGGTGGTTTATCTTCCGGCGCTACACCGACTTCGCGCGGCTCAACAAGCGGCTGCGCCTGTCGTTCCCCGGACTGCGGCTAGCGCTGCCGCCCAAGCGCTGGTTCGGGGACAACTTTGACCCGTGCTTCCTGGAGGATCGCATTCTCGGGCTGCAGGCATTTATCACCAACATCACCAGCCATCCTGACATCAGCCGGTGTGACGACGTGCGCCAGTTCTTCTGCCTGGACGAGCCGCCTGACCCGCGCGACTCGCTCGAGGAGAGCCGGCTGCTCTGCGAGTCGCTGGAGGAAACGGCCAGCTCGCACGAGCTGCTGCTGCAGCAGCGCGACCTGGAGATCGCGCGGCTGCGCGCGCAGCTGGCGCTCGTGCGCCAACAGTACGACTTCCTGGTGGGCCGACTGCGCGGCGGCGCGGCGGCCGGCCTGCGCCGCTCGGGGCTGGCGGCGCCGGTGCGCCACCGCATGGCACACCTAGCCGGCGGTAGTCAATCGGCTAGCCTGACGGACCTGCCCGGCAGCGACTCGGACGCCGCCCGCGAGCCGCCGCCGCCGCCGCCGCCGCCGCCGCCGCCGCCGTCGGTGCCGTTGGCGCCGCCGCCGCAGCCCGTCGAGGAGTGAGCGCCGGCGCGGCCCCCTCACTGGCCGCGCCGGTGGACCGTCGCCCGCGCCGGCGGACCGCCGTCCCGCGCGCCGGCGGTCCAGAGTGGTGGGGTCTTGGTGGGCTGTGCATAATCTGTGGTGGTACTGTGAAGTCGGTGTTCGGAGCGGTTGCTGGTGTGTGTGGGGATGTGCGCATTCGGGGAGTATTTCGAAATGCTTTGCTTGCTGTGCTTTTCCGTCTGTTTATTCCGTCTTGCTTTGAATAGCACATATACTGTATTTGTTTGTAAGCGGACGACCTTACAGTTTTTCGTCCTCATTCACACAATCTATCTTGCCAGTTAATTTGTGTTTTTCCTTCTCTTTTCTTTCCGGCTTTCTCGTCTAATTTCACGTCTGTGGTTGGGGAGATGTCGGGATGGTCGGCACGGCATACCGGACATGTCATAATTTGTGATACAAACATGAAGCATGCCATAATTCTCTCAGGCTTTCAGACTACTTTATGTGAATGGACAGGAATGGACAGGAATCACACTTGTACTATCAACGTATTTCTGATGTGCTTGCAATCCAGTATAATAGTGCTTCAGGGCTGTTACATGCACGTCTTCCAAGTGTAGCATTCGTGGATTGTGACAGATATTAGTTTGTGAGCTTTACCTGGGTGAAAATACATTGTACCCTTGTGGCCTTCCCTCTTTGTCTTTGTGGTCGAAGTGTTTGGCGGATGAACTCCCATGTGATAAATATCCCGCAGCGTGTTGTTCCCTGTTGGAATGTAGAGCTCCGATCATGTGTGGATATTGGGAACCCTTTCTCTGTTCAGTCGTTAAAGGGAAGCACAGGAAACATACCTTGCAACGCTGTCACCATTGTTTGTTCTCCGTCTTCTTGGACGTAAATATCATGTTGGTATCGTAGCGATGTCGTTGCGCAAATGAATGGAACGTCTTAGCGTACGCCGCTTATCCATTGGGCGCTGCCTGTTGCATCCATTCATTGATCTTCATCCTAGAATCTTCAGTCATACGCGGAAGGCCTGGCTCAGAGCGCGCCAGCGGCGGAGGCGTCTTCCGCGCAGCCCCGTTCCGACCAGCGCCTGCGTGCACACTTTCCATGACTCCGCGAGCGGCCGCTGAACCAACCGTGACGTCCTCTGCGACCGGTCTGGAGCGTCGCCTGGCGCGGGGCGTGTCGCGGCACGCCCCATCTGCCGCGCGTCTGGCCGGGGTGTCGCGGCGCGGCGCTCGGGAGGGGACCGTGCCGCGTGCCCGCCGACACAGCCTCTGTTGGTGTTCCAGGTCGGTTCACGCTGGTGGAGATGGCGCGGGTTCACCGAAGGTGAGGGGGACAGGCGGCGGACACGCGGGGACGCCGGTGCCCCGCCCGTGCTGCATGAACGCTAACTTGCAGTGCTTAGGCGAGCGGGTAGTCCCACCCATATCACCGCCCCTTTCCCTCATATGATGTTCATGCGCAAGTAGCAGTGCCGTAAAACCCAAAAGTGTGCCGGCTTCACTGAGGTGACGTGTGCTTGGAAAGTACAAAGCCTGGCGACGAGTGCGCTTGAGTGTGATCACTGGAAAAGGAGTGGTGTGGATCTTAACAGCCATTTTAGCCATTATTTCGACAAAGAGAACAACGCTCTAAACGTCAATTGGATCACGCTAGACGTGCCCTGTCGTTTGGGACAGTCCGGGCTGAGCGCGATACAAAACGAAAGCTGCATTTATCTCCCGTATCCACACCACGCGGTGTGCTGCGAGAGGAGACGCATCGTTCGTTCCCCATCGCACCGGTCAACGGTCTCCGTGTTGCCTCCCATCCAGAGTTACTTCTCGGCTGGATGACTTGCTGTGTGCGCTGGTGGTGCCTGCTGCCATCTATGTCTCGTCGCCGGCGACTGAAGCGACCTCTGCCGTCGTGTTGGCCCTCGTGTCGTTGCTGGTCTGCGCGTAAGTACGGCGCGCGCTGCTGCCAGGTGGTGCATATGAGTGTTCACAAGGAACGACTTCGTGTGGGTCATGTGCAGCATGAAGGTGTAACATCTTCAGGGGAGCGACGTCTGGCTTGGAAATGTATTTTTTGGATGCGATTGCTATCCAATGGTCCATTTCGTGTTCCTTGCGCCATTCACAGATTTACATCCCATTACATCACTAATGACCATTAACTGGGATTTGAATTCATGTGGGTTAGGCTTGATATTGTCCTGTATGCTCCACCCGTACCGTTGGCTGGGTGGCGTACTTGTGTCTGCTGCGCTCTGTGGCATTGTGTTCACTTTCTCTCACTTTTCCCTAACCGGCGTCATACCTGAGTGGGCCTGTCCCCTTGGCCCCGAAATTGCCTTAACGTCTTGTTAAGTGACATGTGTTTGAGTACAGCGTCGTTTTTCTGCATCGCTGGCATGTAAGCTGTTTTTGTTCCGCATCGTTGGTATGCAACACGCGCGCTGTTTTTGTTTGCAGGTCGGACTACTTCTGCGGGTCATCCCTCAGCCTCGCCGGCAGCGCTTCCAGCGTGTTCGCCACCTGGTTGGCTTGTGGGCAGAGTGCGTATTCTGATGGCTGCGATCTGAAAGCCTCGCGTTTGCTGCGGTCTTGTGAGACATGGTTCCCAGAAGGTAGTCCCGTAGAAGTGGTGCTGATAAATTGGCATGTTAGCATGCCTTTAACATTTTGCTTTCAACCAGCTATATGCCCAATCAAATTTGTGCATCCAGAGGCTATACTTAATGTGTGTCCCTTCCTTTAATCATTGTTTGCATGCTCCTACATGCCTCGCCAACCCTCGCCAACCCTCGCCTCGCCAGCAGGATGCATCACCGATGGCGATGGACTGCTCACTACACGGCGTTAGCAGCCCATCGTGAGCCCCGTCTCACCGCAGCATGACCATACCCGTCAACATTGACTCCCGCTGTGGTACCAGGCCTACATCACATAGATGCATTTTAATGCATGCCTAGATGATAGACTAATTGTTTCTATGTATACATAGCAGGCATGGCGGGCATAAGGCTTTGTCGTAATTCATTTTGTGACCTGTATAATCCTGGCTAAGTTTCCTTCACCACATCAGATGAATCAGGTTAGTCTGCTGGTCTTGCCTCGTCTTGCTGGGCCTCAACAGCCGGCTACCTGACTGGTAACCCACAGCTCCTCAGATTCCTGCTTACTGACACGCCCACTCCCCGGACCCTGCGCGCTGACTGTCCAGCCCGGTCTGCTGACCCGTCCCCTCCCCGTCTTTCCCTTCCGGGGCCCAGTGTGCCCTCCCTGCCCGCCGTTTGATCGACCCCCCCCCCCCTTCTCAGACACTGGCCAGCTGGGACGGCTGGCGCTGCTGGCCGCCTGCCTGCTGCTGACGGCCGGCGCGCTGCTGAGCCGCGCTGGTGCCAGCGTCAGCGGCGGTGAGGCGCTGCTGGTGGCGCAGGCAGTTGCGCTGTTGTGCACCGCCTCCGCCGCCCATCTACCGACGCTGCTGCTCTTCGGAGCGCCTCTGTACATTGGCGAGCTGGCTGCCGTCACTCACCTGCTGCAGGTCCGGGTGCTGCTGTTATTGCTCCTTGTGTCTATTCGAGCGCAGTCGAAAGGCCCTGGAGTGATCTGGTGGCAGCCGCCACGACCACCAGCGCGCTACCGCCCCCCAGCGCCTCCGCGTTCGGGTTGAGGGCCCTGAGTGGAGGACGACGGGGACCCGTTGGGGCGGCGCACGGCTGAAGCGAGTCCCGCGCACGGCCGCGGACGTCGGCCGGGCTGGGGACAGGGACTGGGTGGGGCTCTAGCGCGACGCTCCGGATGGGAACGGCAGCAGGTTCTGGGTGGGGATAGTGGGTAGGGATGTGGGCGATGATGGGGGACAGGGATCAGCGCAGGGCTGGGTGTCAGCAGGGATCTAGGCGGGACTATGCTGCTCCTCGACCGAAAGCCGCAGCGCATTACACGCTATGTGTTAAACTGCTTTAGAATTCGAGAACATCTGGCACCATTCCGACATGAGTTTCAGGAGTTTTGATCACTATATCTATTATATGTAGCATACCTTATCACAATTTGAAATGTGCAGAACACAATCTATGGACAAAATATAGTCATATGGCATGTGTTTGCAAAAAAACAAAACAATGACATCTTGCGCCTTCTGCACATACGGGTTTTAAGAAAGACGCAGTCATCGTCATGTAGGAACCTTCTTTATCGGTGCATCTGAGTATGGCAAGCAGCCAGAATATTCAGACGCTGACCAAACCTGGGATTGTTATGTGCCCATAGTTTGTAAGTAAATCGATCATATGGTGGGACGGGGGTACCGGTGTCGCTTCGGCTAACCTCCACGTCTGTGAAACCAGAGGTACGGGGTTCGATTCCCCACGGTGCCCGCCATTCCTTCCCGGGTGAGGGGCGGGCGACGCCATACAGCCTTAGCAGCTGGGTGCGTCGCAAAGCTCCAATGACGGGGCGTGTTTGGAGCCCCCTTCCTTCCGAGGGAAGCCGTTCCCACTCCCAGATCACACACGAATCTGACAAGCTGTGGTACACGGCCGGGTGAGCGGGCCAGGCCAGCGGACCAGCAGCCCACGGCGTGCGACCTGCCCCGCGTGTCGTTCCCCGCAGACGGCCTTCTGCTTCCTGCTGGTGTTGCTTGGTGTGCTGACGTACGTGCCGTCGGCCCGCTCGGCCGTCTGCCTGCACCTGCTGCTGCTTCTGCTGGCCGCAGCCATCGTGGTCACCACCTCTTCCGTCATCAACACCAACTGCCTGGTCTGGATCGTTGAGTTCGCTGCTGCCACGGAGATGAGGGTGAGCGCCCCCCCCTCCCCCCCCCTTTGAGCGTGCAAACGACATATTTCAGCTAATTCCACCCTCTAGAGAAGCTCGGGAGGCAAAGACCAGGCACTGGAAAACAATTTTTAAAAAGTTGACAGGTCTTCGTATGAAAGTCAACTACTTCGTATGAAAGTCAACTACTGTTAACTTCTTCAGCGATGCAACGGACTAACTTAAGCTCAGTTGTTAACAGATAACAGATAAACAGATAACATAACGGACTAACTTAAGCTCAGTTAACAGATCCTGAACGCAAGCTAAATTTGGGGTAAATCTGTCCATCTCTGAAATCTTATCGGGCGAGCATGCTGCTGAGGGCGTTACCGGCATGCAACGTAAAAACATCCGGGACTGTCTGCCGATAATTCAGAGTTAACAGCGGTATAAGCTAGGTCGGTATTCAACACACCTTCAGGCAAGTAGGTTTCTGGCCTGAAATCTTGTCACGCGAGCGTATTGCTGAGGGCGTTACCGGCATGCAACGTAAGAGCATCCGGGACTGTCTGCCAATAATTCAGTTAACAGTGGTATAAGCTAGGTTGGTATTCAACACACCTTCAGGCAAGCAGGTTTTTTGGCCTGAAATCTTGTCACGCGAGCGTATTGCTGAGGGCGTTACCGGCATGCAACGTAAGAGCATCCGGGAATAATTGCCAATAACTGCCAACAAAATAATTGCCAATAATTCGGAGTTGACAGCGGTATAAGCTAGGTTGGTATTCAACACGCCTTCCGGCAAGCAGGTTTCTGGCTGGTTTGCGGAGGTTCATTATGGCGATGACGTCTGCAGGTCGAGCGGTGGGCGGTCTGACGTTTGTGTGGGATGGACGGGCGCTTTGTCTTGCCTTGGAGCGTCCGCCGCCGAACGGCAGTAATTACCATGACTGGTGGCCAGTTTGGTCAGCGTGGCGCGCACAGGCGGACAGCTGGACTCGATCATTGGTGTGGGACGCCGATATTTGTGGCAGAGATGAGAATCATGACATTGCTAGTGTTACTGAGTACGGTAGAAATGTGAGACATATATGACGCAGTTAAGGGACGCGGTTGAGAGAGACACGAGCTCTCTGGTGTTGTCTTGTCTCACTCTAACGTTACAATTGAACCACAAATAATACGATTTTTGCTTTCGTATTTTTGTACGGCGGGACGGGGGTGGGCTTTCCGCGTCCTCCAGTTTCGACCGTAACGTGTGCAAGGGCTAACCCCGAAAATACGCTGGGGAAGATGCAGTTATTTTTTGTCGTAAACTTTGTCAGCGAGTTGTCGGTTGCAAAATATTTCCCACAATGCAGTCAGGTGCTGACCTTTGACCTGATGTGAACTGATGTGAAGGGGAGAGCGAGACGAGTCGTATCTTGTACTAGTAGTATCAAGATGGTTTATTCAAAATCTATGTGATGGATGACAGTTTTGAGTCACTCAACTGGCGCACAGAAGCTCGCTCTACATTTCAGTGTACTTCGGGACACTTACGTCCGTACGTCCTAGGATTAGAGCGACAAAGATGTTTCTTGCACACCGTTGAAAACTAGCGATCGCTGAAAATGCGCGTTTGGGGACTTCGGCATAACCAGACCAATCTGAATGCTATTCTGAGTAATGGGTAAGTGCATTTGTCGTATACACTGCAAAACGTCTGGCGCCGGCTTGCCAAATATTTCTGGGTGGCGTTAACTTTCTTCCAAGATGTCGGGCGCGTGTTGCATCAGCTGTGCATGGGACATGCGGTATCAGTGATAGGATATACCGACAGCATGTCATTAGCTGAAGTTCTATAGATCATTGATTTGCATGATTGTTATGGCTTACTGTCATGCGGAAAACAAGCTGACTTTTACCTTACCTATATAGACCCATGATTTTTACCGGAGCGACCGAAACCGAGGCGGCAGTAGCCGTAAGACAAACACCGATTGATAAATAGGGCAAAAAGTTGTCATGTTACGGTCACGATGAACACCGAAATAGCACAGGCTAGCGCATTTGGTCTGCATGTCGCAACGCATTCAGCTTGCTTCCGATGCAACATCCTACCCTGTGATAAAAAACAACTGCACGAAGTCCCCGACCATATTATACAATTTACCCCAGGGTGGGTCAAGTTGTGACATTTGGGAGTAGTTCATTCAGGAGATGTTTCCCGCCCCCCCCCCCCCAAAGAAACCGAAACGTGCTCTCCAAAACTCTGCGCTATGTGTGGAGCTCAAGATTGCGCCTGGCTGCATATATAAGAATCTGAAAGGAATATTGACAGACATCTTAAAAGACCTAATAGGAAGTTCTATCCTCGCTACTCATAGCAGGGGAGCTCAGAGTACACACTGATGCACTCCTCTTACTCTTCGCGACTAATTGCCAACGCCAGTCCGTACTTCGAAGGCATGTAGCGAATTAATTAAATGGTGGTAATGTTCTATCAAAACTTGCATGCACTTGGTGCCGCAAAGTGGCCCCAACTTGTGTTTTGGGGATTGACCTGCTTTAGGCGAGACAAGTCTTAAGCTAGGCTAGGCTAGGCTAGGCTAGGCTAGGCTAGGCTAGGCTGGGCTAGGCTAGGCTAGGCTAGGATAGGATACGCTAGGCTAGGCTAGGCTAGGCTAGGCTAGGCTAGGTTAGGCTAGGCTAGGCTAGGCTGGGCTAGGCTAGGCTGGGCTGGGCTGGCTGGGCTGGGCTGGGCTGGGCTGGGCTGGGCTGGGCTGGGCTGGGCTGGGCTGGGCTGGGCTGGGCTGGGCTGGGCTGGGCTGGGCTGGGCTGGGCTGGGCTGGGCTGGGCTGGGCTGGGCTGGCCGGGCCGGGCCGGGCCGGGCCGGGCCGGGCCGGGCCGGGCCGGACCGGACCGGACCGGACCGGACCTGGCTGGACTGGACTGGACTGGACTGGACTGGACTGGACTGGACTGGACTGGACTGGACTGGACTGGACTGGACTGGACTGGACTGGACTGGACTGGACTGGACTGGACTGGACTGGACTGGACTGGACTGGACTGGACTGGACTGGACTGGACTGGGATAAGCTGGGCTGGGCTGGGCTGGGCTGGGCTGGGCTGGGCTGGGCTGGGCTGGGCTGGGCTGGGCTGGGCTGGGCTGGGCTGGGCTGGGCTGGGCTGGACTGAGCTGAGCTGGGCTGGGCTGGGCTGGGCTGAGCTAGCTTGGGTTAGGTTAAGGTGGTTTAGATTATTTGTGGTCAGACTATACAGGTATAAGTTGATGCAAGTGCTCGCGGCTCGCTTCGCTAAGTGACTGAGCTAACTCGTTGGAAACACGTAACAATACACTTGGCGTTCTAAGAACGATTTGTTTTTGCCCTATTTCGGGATACATTCAAGGTTATTCATAGGGTTTCCTAGCCGATCCGACCTCCGGCTGACGGAATACATGACGGGAACTGGGTGCGATGTACTAATTACCCGAGGTTATTCACAGGGTTTCCTAGCCGATCCGACCTCCGGCTGACGGAATACATGACTGGAATAGGGTGCGATGTACTAATTACCCGGGACGTATGTAGGTCATGGGGAAGCAAACTTTATCGGGAAGCGTGCTTTTCGTCCAGCATCGTGGGGTGAGTCACCTACGGCCTGAACGGAGATCGGTTGCTAACCGCTCGCCCCTTCCTCCTCTCTTTACATGGATGTGTGTGCTGGGAGGGGTTGTCGCAAATGCCTTAGATCAAAGCTGCCAAAGCGCTCACCGGTTCCGTGCTATATATTTCACGTTTTGCGCTAATGAGACACACCAAAGCAGTCAGTAAATGATCGGAGGGCATCATTGGATTTTTCTGTAAGAGGCCCACGATCTGCTTACTGTGACGAACTCAGCGATCGCCGGCTTTTAAATCTCGTTCTCTAAATTTCCATCGCGGTTAGAGTGTTACACGCATTCCGAAAGCTTCGAGTACTTACCTGCTACCACTGCAAATGCGAGATGTGTGCAGTTTTGCCGCTGCCAGTTATCAACACTGCCGCGATGTTTCAGTGCTGTCGTGCTCTACAGGGATTATGCTCGTGCTCTTCAGCACACACCCTTCAAAGCAGGTGAAAGTGCTGTTTTTGCCGTAGCAGTGAGCTTCGTTGAAAAATGACGGCCTTTTCCAAGTCCTCTTAATGCACCCGTGCAAATTATTCTTTCATCGATAGTGTGGTTTCTTCGACGTTCTTCAAACCAAGGTGTCCGAATAATGCATTTGATCATCACTGTAGTTCACCGTTTCCGACACATCGAATGCCTGTACTTAAGCTGAATAACTGCATTCGATGCGTGCGCGCTGGGTCGTTTTACTTGAAATAATCGCCGCCGGCGGCTGACCAATCAAATGGTAACATTTTGACTCCGTGTGCGATTGCAACCCTTTAGGCAGAGTTGATGTTTGGAAGGGGCGTGAACATGGTAACAAGTAAATGGTCGGTAAATGAAGGCAATCAATCTGTGTATGCGGCGATGTAGATTTTCCCAAGACGATGGCTACAATTTTGGCGACAGTTTCAGTTTGTTGCAGCCTGGTTTTAGCGTGTTGTATTCTGCACCGTTTCGCTACTGGCGATGCTGTGGGTCGCACAAAATCGTGTCTCTGTCACAAAATCGAAGTAACTGCTCCGCGACTAGATTGAGCAATATTTATTGTAAACACGGACTGGCGTTTACTTATCACTTGTGTTATTTGTGATTTAGTTGATTGCGTATCGTCCCTTGTTTAATTTTTATCCAATTGTTTGCCTATTAAGACATATATTCGGATACGCCGCCGCAGACGATGTACATGGAGTTCCCTGCATTACGTTGCTGAACAACCACATGCACACTTAGAAATGAAGTACGGCCAGTTATGCTGGTCATAACCGTTTTAGACCGTTGTCAGGGATTTGGTGGAAAAGCTGGCTCCTTTGTTTGTTCTTGAAAAGGCAAATTCTCAAAGGCTAGTGGACAGTGATTTTATACGTACTGAGTGGACTGATGTCGGTACGGGGGAAGCTGTGACCTGTTTCTGCCATTTGGTAGATGGAGCTGAGCGAATTTTAACGTCGCACCCAAATCAAGTCAATGATCTATGGGACAGAAGAGATGTGCTAGGCGTCATGCATTGGCAAGACCATCTGTCGACAGATTTCATATCAATTGACCTGTTTCAAACATGTCTTGACATCTGTCGAAAGCGGTGACTTGGTGTTATAATCCTTGATTCTCACTCTTTCCAGACCTCCGATCCGCAGCGTACCTTTCTGACAGCACCTCAGGCTTAGGCGGCGACCTGATTTCAGATAAGCCTTCCTACCTCGTGACCTAACTTCATTTGCACCTGATGGCCTGTTGACGTTGCCGTAGCTCCAGCTATCGAGAATGCGGAACCTCTGGCTGCACTTGCCGACCTTGCCAGTGGGCGTTAAGCTCACCTTTTGGTCGTGTAACGGCGCCTCCGGGCGGTCGGTTGACCGTGAGACTCGGCGTCAGTTCTGTTCTCTAAGTTTATAACCTGACCTGGGGTCCGACCACTGATCCCGCCACCGAGTCTCAGGTCCGCCAGCTGACCCCGTTATCTGACATCAAGTCGACTTGCCGACCCTGTTTGACACTGATTCTGGTGTCTGTACCCTGAAACTGGGCCAGCCTGTTGACTCTATGGTCTGACCTCAGGTTCGCCTGCTGACCTGGTGGACGTCGCTGCTGGTGGGTGCGCTACTGTTCGCCACCGTCTTGGGCGCTTGCTCCGGCGCTGCCTCGCCCTCCGGCCGGCAGTCGATCCTGCGCAAGCCGTTCCACCTGCTGGTGTGCGTTGTATTCGTGCCGGGCCTTCTGCACGACCCAGCCCTCCTGCTGGCTGCCTCCGGCGGCCTCACCTTCCTCTTCATCGTGGCGGAGGTGCGCCAACGGCCAACGGGCGCGGCATGCTGGCGCTCTGTGGACTCTCCAGCGGCCGCGGGGAGGAGGGGAGGGCGCGGTCTATTGCGCTCTGTAGACTCTGCAGCGGTCGCAAGGGGGGGGGGGGGGAGGGCGCGGTCTGCTGCGCTCTGTAGACATCCCAGCGGTAGCGGGGGGGGGGGGAGGGGGGAGGGGAGGGCGCGGCCTGCTGGCGCTCTGTAGACTCTGCAGCGGTCGCAAGGGGGGGGGGGGAGGGCGCGGTCTGCTGCGCTCTGTAGACATCCCAGCAGTAGCGGGGGGGGGGGGAGGGCGCGGCCTGCTGGCGCTCTCTAGACTCTCCAGGGATCGCGGGGGGGGGGGGGGGGAGAGGAAGTGGAAGGGAGGGCGCGGCGTGCTGCGCTCCGTAGACTCTCCAGCGGTCGCCAGATCGGGGAGGGACGGCGGGCCAGCCGGTCGGCTTCGGAGGCAGAGTTTTTAGTGGTGCGTTGTTTGCCGGCAAGTTTTGCGTGCGTTGGGTTTTACGTTACGAAATGTGCAGTCCCGGCTATGCGCGGGTAATGCACCGATTTCTGTTGTCAAACAACCATTCTAAATTGGATAATGTGGCAGCCTAGAGCCGGTTGTAATCATGCTGCCCGTGACTGCATTGGTGCAAATGGTGCGTCGACTGGCGTTCGGCGTCGGCCCCACGCCGGTGTGGCGCAGAAAGGCTTGGCAGATACACA